CCAATTCTCATTTTCAACAGTAAATCAATTCTCATTTTCAACCACACATTCTTCAATAAAATAATATTTTCTATCACATCAATAATTTTATCTTCTTTTTCAACCACACATTTCCCATCATATCACTATTCAAAATCAATTCTTCCCCCAAAAAATCCTTACCAAACACACACATAATATGTATAGAATTCATCTAAAAATATATTTAGAAAAGTAAAACCACTTATAACCAAAAATGAGTAAAATTATAGTAGGTTAAAATCTAAAACATATTACTTTTTCAAAATGTACGATTAAAAAACAAAGAAAAATTATCAATCTATTTATAAAATTATTTTATTAAAAAAATGTACGACTAAAATAAATTTGAAAAGAAATAATTTTTCACTTAAACGATGAAATTGTAAGATTTTTTAAATGATTTTAGGGAAAATTGTGGCAGCGGTCCCAAAAATTAAAGGTTTAGGTGTAATCTGCAACAAAATAAAAAGTTTGAGACCACGACCGCAATTTTCCCATGATTTTATTCACTCTCTCGCTGAAGAGACAAATTTCGAAATCGAAATAACTATCCCGTCTTCCTATTCATCATTACATCACGCCCACTTTTTCACCGCTCAAACACATGGGACCGAAAGTAAAATTCGAATTCAGTGTACAACGTTCGATTGGCATCAAATCTTCATTTTGTGATCCTAAATTGGAGATCATGTAATAATGACAGTGGAAGAATAAAATGTACAACAATCATTAATAACTGAGTAATTACTGCCTGGATATAATTAACTCTTAACCAGTTTCTTTTGGTAATGAGATGAATGATTAACTCAAAAGTAAGAAATAATTAATTCTTAACCACATTCATTTGGTAATGAGATGAATGATTAACTCAAAAAATAATTTTGTTTTCACTAGAATGAGCCTTGATCTAGGGCAGTTGTTAAAAATTTAGTTATGCTAATTTTAGGTAGATATAATAGAGAATTTCACCTCAAATTTATTGAAAAGAATATTTGTTTACTATATATTTTTTTTATTGCTAACTAGAATGAATTTTATTTATTTCTTTTAAGTAATATTTTTGTCACATCTCCATCTTGCACGGAGCCACCTGAGATCCCATAATGTGTATTATCATAGCCTCGACCCTAGATACGCTACCACCTCGTGTGGAGTCACGAAGATCACATCATCTTTACCAAAGCCAGAACACACACCTTTGGGACACTAAAAGGTCGCTCAAAGTGCCAAATGTCTCATTATAAACTCGGTGTATCTAATCCCACTGCAACATTTTCCGAACCATTAACCACCACCCTCGTGGTAATTCCAAAGCCATGAAGCCGATGTGATCAGCGTCAATGAAGAGGTAAGTAAGATTTGCAACTAAAGGTTGCAACAATCTATAAATTTAATCATGGTTGGGATACGTTGACAACAAGGTCTGTAAGATTTCAAAGTTAACAATATTAAAAAAAAAAAAAATGATTAATAGATAGTCCAATTTTTGATAAAAATCGTTACGAATATTTAAAAATTTGTTTAATGATGCGAAGCCGTTGTTTCCAACTTGTAAGAAATCTACTAAGTAGTGTGCACTATTAAGGTTATACAATTTATAATGTGCACTATTAAGGTGGAACGATACTAGCATCTCAGAGTTGTAGAAATGACATGTTTCTTGGAAGAAACAAATTGTCTACATCCATATGCGAGGTGAAAAAATTACATTAATATATGTAGTATTGACTACTGCCTCATTATATCCAATGAAAATACGTCTCGACTTTATTAGACAATAAACCCTATTACCACTAGAAGCATCGGTCGTGCTAGAGATAATTCTTTTTCAAAAGATTTATACATGTTTCAATGTCGTTTCTTGCGTAAAAAATGAGCATGATGAAACTATAAGGTATGTAGGTTTCGAAACAAGCATTTTAAAAGAAAGTGAACGTTTATCCGCCATTATAGCATCCATCATAGAAGGATTTTTCTATGAAAATTATTATGTAACTGTTCTTCAAGTATCCTCTACAGAGCGTCGTGTTGCTAACACTCTAACTAAAATCTGGAATTCTGCTCGTTTTGAAGTTCTTCAAATTAAAGGTTCAACCCGTTGGAAACCCATAAGAAACATACGTCACATTCGCTCGCAAATTAATCAAATACTTAATTATGTGCTATCTTTTACCAAAAACTACAAGCTAGAAGATCTTTAAATTTAAGGCAATTTCAACAAATATTCCAACATACAGTCAATTTCTGACTTCAACTTGTTACCTAAAAAGCCTAAAAGCACTTCACACAGATATTCTACACTTATCGAATAGAGTAATTTTATCCATCTCTAATGGGGTTACAAACACAGTTTAGATGACTCTAAATGATAGGTGAAATTAAATGACTTATTTAATTTCACTTATCATTTAATGCCACAATAACGTCACTTAGACTATGTTTGTAACTACAGTGAGGATGAATAGCATTACTCTATCCAATAGTCACTTTTACAGGCTAAACGCTTATCCAATAGTCACATTTATTTATTTTATATTTTTGCAATTAAATTATATTTTAAAAATAAAATTAATTAATTAATTAAATGGGACTATATATTTTAGTTTCCACCTTTTACCCCATTCCTTTCTCGTCCCCGCCAAGCCTCATGAATATCTCCGATAGGGCCAGAACGGAATGGCCTTCTCGATTCGTCCCATTCCATGGTTAAGAATAATGTAAATTATCAAAATAATTTGACTTTAAGCTTAACCAATTATTTCGAAATAATATTTATTTCAATTTATTTGACGTTTTATAATTCTTAATATACTCTAAAATCGTAATGCACATTAATAATTTTCTGCAGACACCAACGTTTTATTTTTTACATCATGGTCACTTACAATCGACGGCCGCTGCATTACCTACATTTTTTCAGAGACCACGTGGCAACATAATCACCGTTCCCCTGGATGATAGCGCCTATAACTTAACGTACTAAACCTGCAAAGTGGCGCAATACAAAGATTGAAAGTGTCCTCTGGATCCCAAAATTCATTACATGTACAGGAATTTAAATTGAAATTTTCTGAATGTACAGAATTTTTTTTCCCAGAAATTCTACAGATACTCACATGGGGGTGGCCCCATGTGAGTTAAATATTATTTTTAAAAAATGGGCCCCACCCTGTGTTTTCTGTATGATTTCTGTTTTTTTTTTTTGTACATATTGTTCATTTAAATTCATGTACCTGCCCGACAACACACATCATAGGTGGGTGGAGAGAGGTTTTTGGCATTATTTTAATCATATGGGGCCACCCCCATGTGAGATATATTTTAAATTCCTACATGAATTCTGTGAGAGTAATTCTGTACTTTCGGAATTATTCAAATTCATTTCTTCGATTGAGGGACTACCAGATTGATGATTTCAATGTCCGGTGAATTAAAATCACGGTCGCTGAACTTTCATCAAATTTTCAACCAGATTATTAAATTTTAAATTTATTGCAACCAAGTCATTCATAGAGGCAAATAACTATCATAAACAAATTATACATCAAATTTGTTTTATGCATGACATCATCAGACAATACAAGTTTGGAAAAGAACCCACAACACACTACGCATTATATAGTAACAAAAATTCTGGGAAGAACCAAGTTTTCACATTTTATCACAAAGCTGTTTATCTCCAGAGACAGCTCCTTCTCTGGACACATTGATGTTAATGCTCTCATAGTTTGTGTGTTGTTTATTGCCATTGCTGTCCATTTCTGTCATTTGCTTCACTTGTATTGCTTCTTCTTCAATCTCTGGGGACTTGTAATCTTTCTTCTTACCCCAAATAACAAGATAAAGGCCCAAAACTATTACAATGGCTCCAACAACCCTGTACAAAAGTGACACCAGTTTCATGTTTTAAGTATTTGTGCACACACACATCATGTTGACACACAAAAGTAGACAAATACTGAACAGATGGTAGCATTTTTTCTTCTTTAATACTGTGCACTTCTCTCGAGTTTAACATACCAAATAAGCGTATAGATAAGGTTCTAGGGAGAGGTTAACTCACCTTCCTAAAAACATTTGCTCGGCAAAAATGAAGGAGCTTAATACAGCAACGATAATCATGCTCAATGGGCTGAATGCAGTTACAAAAACTGGGCCTCTCTCTTTCATTACCATTCCTTGGATGTAATAAGTAATTCCTGAACAAAATATGCCCTGCAATATTTGGTTTTGAGCTATTCTGGGTTAAAAATGTTTCCCTTCAATTATCGGAAAGTAAATTCATGCCCTGTTGGAAAGAAATTTAATGAACTTGTAAAAATGTAGTCATTGTCTAATGGTCTAAGCAAGGACAAGCTGGTTGCACTGAACCCGTATATTTGGTACGTTAGACTGGATATGATTAGTAAGTTCTGTTAGAACTATTATTTAGCATGCGAGATATGTAACAAAATCAGAAATGAAGAGAAGGAAACGTCAAACCGAATAAATGCTTAACGAAATTGCAGAAACCGGTAGATTGAGGTTAGAGTTCGACTCTATTTCCTTAAGACGATTTTGGTCTGATACGGTGCTTATAGTTGACTCCAATCGCCTCGCAAGATACAACAATCTTTCTCTTGCGGTGTAGAAGCACTCTTAACAGCAAGAACGGCAAACCAGAAACGTTTCTTACTTTCTCAATGAATGGAAAATATATTTGTTATGCAGAATGCAATAGAAGAGAATGAAGATATTAGAATGGATCAAATTCGAAAATCAGGGGTCCTATTTATAAATTTCCAAAAGCTGCAGGTCAAGAGTTGCAACTCATTGAAAGGTTATTCCTTAATAGACACAACTATTAGTTTGTGTCAGTTTAGTCCGAACAGTTTCAAATAGATTTAAAAAGACACACATTTTCAATTAATTAATTTCGAAATTCGGAAATAAATAAAAATAAATTAAATAAATAATTTTAATTTATTTTGTCCAAAAAGAATATAGGAACCAACAACGACCCACGACCCGACCCGAGCTCGTGCCGAGCCGGCCGGTCGGACGGACGGCGGCGGCGCGCGTGTGGGTTTGGACTAGTCTAGACATTATCTAAGACTTCTCCCTTTCAAAGAATATTGGTACCCATTGTGGGTTTGGATTAGTCTAGACATTGTCTAAGACTTCTCCCTTTCAAAGACTATTGGTACCCATTGGGGCCCAAACCCATATCCAAACTTGAGGTATATAAATTGGTTCAAAATTCTTTCAACTTCCTATGTGGGATAAAGTTCCCACACTTTATTTTAAATTCTAGGATTTTTACTTTCAAGTTGTCAACTTCTAACATTAATTTCTCATTCATCCAGAAATTGTTTTGTGAAATTAAATATATCACGAACATCTACTCGCGGAGTAGAACGCATTTGACCATTGATCCGCACAAAACGAATGCCGGGTCCCACCCGAATTATTAGTCAAACTTAACCCATTTCCAACAATCCCTCACATGAATGGAAATTATCGAAAATATGCAAATGAAATGCAGACACGAGAGAGAGTACAAGCGAAGAGTTATTGCATCAGGAGAGGTAGCTTGCGGCTTTGAACCTGCCTTAGTGAAGTA